CCCTGTTGGAGCTGGACTCTGACAAAACCCCTGTTTGAGATCCTAGTAATCTTAACAACAAAAATTAATCTTTTGAATATAACTTTAAATGAACTGAAGTCTGGCCTGCTGTGGAGTCATTCTGACATGTAGTAAGATGGGAGGCAGAGACTTATCTCAGGTAAGGCAGGGCTCTTTATAAATCTTAAGTAAGGTGTTCTAGTTCTGAAGCTGATTTTTGTTTCTTAAATATCATTTATAAAGTTTACATATATATTTTTCAAGGTAATATGAATATTAGCTAACACAATATGATATTACATTTAAAACATGAATTACAGAAAGGCTGGCAGCTTTTAAACTTTTATGGAAAAGTTGCAAAATGTTTGGGTTTTATAATATTAACCTTTACATACATTAGGCTCTCATTAAATTAAAAATACATTTAAATTTTACCCCAGTGTAAAAAGTAACATAAAAACTTTATATCTTATTGATAACAGGTCCAGTTATAGAACAGTAAATGGTATAAATAAATCTCCAAAAAAGTTTATTATACTTATAAGCCCAAAATTACTATACAACTTTAGTTTGGAGAACACCAGCTTGATATAATGTTATTTTAAAGCTTCTACCTTAAAGATTTGTACACCTGGAAGATATGAACATATTTAGTACACAAATAATAGTAATAGCACCATAATTACATTGATATTTTTATATTTAGTTTAGCTCTTGAGGAAATAACATTATAATATTTTAAAGTAACAGTTGTTGTTTAATCATAATTGTATAATCCTTAATTCATTTAAGATTACTTGCTCAAAAAAATAAGACTTAATAAACACAATGTTATGGATAAATCAATGTTTTAAGAAATCCTTGTCTTTTTAACATATAAATTAAACTTTGGTTTATATCAGTATATTAACATTTGACCTTAAGGAAAAACTTTAAATAGCCTTGACTGATTGTTTTACATATATATATATATATAAAATCAACTCATATAGAACTTTTAATCTCTCTTTTCTATCTGTCATCCCTCGTTTTGCTCACAATATGAAACAATCCTTGTAAATTTTTGAATTTAGACAAATTATTTCGTTTTAATAAAAAGAAATACTTTATGTTGTTTACATTACTCTTAATTGGAACAGTTGAAACTTTTGGACCTTTGCATATAGAAATCGTCAATAAACCTTTGTATACAGAATTACATCTGCTTACCATTTCATGAAAACACAATGTTTAAGTATATAGAATTATGCCTTTTGGGGCTTTAAATTTTTAGTAAAACCGTTTTTAGTGATGACAAAGCAACTTTAACCCCCCCCCCTTTTTTTTTTCATTTACAAATTTATAAAAACATCAATAATGTTACCCAATGGAATTTAAGGAATTAAGAGTACTTGATGGTATATTTAACAGTTAGCATTTTAACCTTGTAAATTAATCAGATGTCTAACAAACAAAATTATTGATAAATATGAGTAATCCCATGTCAAATCTACTTAACTTATTTACCAAAATACCAGACAAGTATATTGAACAGCATCAGCCATTTCTTCCTTATTGAAGAAAATTTCTAGAACCAAGGGATATTAGACACTTTAGAGACATCAACTTTTTATTAATTTTTTGACCACCTAGAGAAACTTGTGAGTTAAGTTTGATTTTAAAGACATATTTATTTTCATCTGTTTATCTAATTTAAGTTGAACTCTTTTAAATCATGTGAATTAAAGGTATTTGAACCCATTTTTAATTTTATGAGTGCTCCTTATATATCGACCAATTTTCATATCATGTACATGATATATGACATATGCACATACAACATATAACACAAGTGTGCACACATAACACAATAGTAAAGGCCTTATAGCTTTTCGCAGGTGAAATCTCTATTGCAATGTTTAAAAACTCCATAGTTGAATAAAAAATAGGGCTGATTGGAAAAACATTAACTTAGGTCTGTAGGATCAAAATCATGAGCTCAAAAAATACAGAATCTAAGAAAAAGCAAGAGTCCTAGAAAAAAATGACCAGCCAGTAATTAGTAAAGTATCATACAATTTCCTTTTTGGTTTAGTCTCATATAAGTTCAGGTATAAGTTATAAATATAACTTATAAATAAATATAATAAAATATATAATAATATATAATAATATAATATAATATAATAAAATACATAAAAATAATAAATATAACTTATAAGTTATAAATATAACTTTATTTTATTTATAAGTTTATTTATAAGTTATAAGTTTATTTTATTTATAAGTTTATTTATAAGTTATAAGTTATAAATATAACTTTATTTTATTTATTTATATGTGGTGCCTAGGATCGAACCCAGGGCCTTGCTCATGGGAGTCATGCACTCTATCTCTGAGCCATAACCCCAGCCCTTTTACTCCCCCCCCCCCCAGGGTTTGAGACAGTCTCCTACTGAGCTTCTATTTGCATTTCAATGTAAATCCTGGCTGAGGTCCAGAAGGAGCTAAGGAAAACTGCTGTTCTGAGCAGAAACCTCATGCCTAAGGCGTTTTAACCATTTTTTCCCCCTAGTTTGTAATTGGACAGGTTTGGATGTCTAAAATTATGATACCTTACTTTCTATTACCTTTGAGAACAAAGCTATGATGTTAAGTTCCTTATTAAAATAAGCCTTTTGCTGTTGAGCAGGTCTACTACCTTGTGTGGCCATTCCTAGGTTTTGTCTTCCTCTCTCAGTGACTAACAGGATAAATCTTGCTCCAAACCCTGATCAAAACTCAAGGGGAGTAAATCTTTGGTAATAGGCTGTTCAGATATTTTTAAGAGGTCTAAGGTAAGAGGTGAGAACAGAAAACCTGGCACTTGTATTCAATTGACTTCTAGATCTCTACAGAGAAGCAGGAGAAGCATACCTGGGGCATTTGAGGCTAAAGTTACCTCCACACATCTAAGGCAGATCAGAACTTGGGACACTGTATACTTACATCAATTGCTCTCTGGGGCTGGATAGAAAAGTAGGAAACAGCTTTGGCAGGCAGAGCCCAACATGCCTGCTCTGTATTGAATGGTGATTGAGAGCTGCCTAGGCCGGGAAACCTTTCTCCCAAGTTTTGAAGAGTTGCATTAAATGCATTAGCTGCATTTAAGTAGCTGTGGGTGCTCATATCATCCTCCAGAAGGAAAGAGGAGCTGAAGTATGGGGGGGCGGGGTGCAGGAATCCTCCTGAGAATCCTGCTGTGTTCATGCATTAGAGGCAGCACCTTTTGCATCCAACTCAGTTTTTGACTATTAAGACTCCTTATTAATTATTTTATCTCTGACAGATCAACTTTTAACTGCAAGATTGTACAAAGTTTCAAAAACCCATTTACATACCAGATTGTTACAGTAAAACATCATCTTAGACACATATACATCTGCCGCAGTCCGGCTGCAGCAAAATAACCGGGGGTGACGAACAACTTGTGTAGATTTATACAGCAGGAGTAGGAGCCGTTTATTGTAGGACAGGAGCGGCATTTATACATTCCACACAGCTTATCTAATTAACATAAACTCGATACAGCAGTCAACCAATAAGGAATCTCCACACTTAATGGCTTGCTGGCGTGACTTCACAAACCACTCCCTCTGGCAAAATGCCAGGCGCCATCCAGACTTGTTTACAGACTCTAACATACATCCATAGGTAGCCCATTCAGCCAAGATCATTCCCAAGAAATAATCTATAATATCAACACATTATTGCTCATATCTTAAAGGGCCAGAAACAGATACAAAGACACAATGACAGAGAGGAGCTCCAAACTATGGCCGACAGACAGGAATCTTTAAAACAGACCAGATAAGGGGAAAATCTCCCCAAGTTTCCAACTCCCATTTAACTATGACACCTACACCAGTGGCACCATGTCCCCACGAGTGGACCTGATGTTCCCACAAAGAGGAAACCAGACGTGTAAAATCAAGGGTCTCAGTGTGTCAACTTTACTGTATTCATTTTCTTTTCTTTCTTTCTTTTTGTAGTTGTTTTTTGTTTGTTTGTCTTAAGTAGACAGAGATGGAGCAATCCTTATAGTGTAGGGAAGGAAGGCAGGAGTTCCCCAAAGCAAAAGGGACTTTGGCAGCTACTGGGAGTCCCTCAGTCCCTCCCTTTACTTACAAGAATAGCTTCTCTGGTTTGGTCCAACCCCAGGCACACTTGCACATCTCCTAACTTTCCGGTCGTCAGCTCTCAAAAAGTTCACCTTACATCCTTGGCATGGAAGTAGTTACTTGGAGTGCTAGGCTTCCCAAAGAAAGCAGGTTGGGGGGACACCTTTGGAGTCCCACCCAGGGTGTCAAAATTTGTATCTGAAAGTTCAGTTCCTGTCCTCAACCTATTAATGAGAATTTAATGAGGACAGGGTTTGAGAAAAAATGAAAAAGAAGGTTTATTGTTTTGCTAACAAAGGAGAAACACAGGGGATTTCTGTCCCAAAGGCTGTGACTCTCTTGATCTGGAGGGATAAGGGGTTTTAAAGGAATTTTTCTAAGAGTTACATTTTGATAGGGGTTCCCAGGGTGCCCTGATGGCAGGCTATGATTCACCTGTTTATTTGGAAGATATTCATTTCCTAGATCTCCAGCAGGCATTTCCCTCCTGCAGTGGATGTGCTCAAGGCAGCCAACTAGGGGAAGAAAAGAAAACATTGCTTCCCTAATCCTGCTCAACAAAGTGGGGTAAAGTTTATCAAAATTTTTAAAACACAGCTCAAAGGTTTCAGGCTTACTTGCCTTATTACCCATTTTGATGTTCAATTGTCTTAAGTTTCTACTAGAGAAAAACAATGAAAAGGAGAAAAAAAAAACATATAGAACACAGAAAAAGACACAAGAAAACAAGAACCAGGTGCCAAAACCGAGGGAGCAGAGCAACGTCTTGTAATGCTCCAAACAGGAGCGCGTATGTTCCTTCATCAGACATCTCTCTGTCCTTCCAGAGGAATTCCTTACTGAACCAGTAACAGAGGACAAAGCGATATTTCATTACTGTCCTAGACAGGAGTGTATGTGCCTCATCAGGCACCTCTCTCTTAACCCAATACCAGATGTTATAAGGGCGCCACTTACCTATGGAGGCCTCCTCCCCTGAATGCTTGCTAATTGTTTTAGTGCAGCAGTTCACTCCAGCAATCCAATGAACCAAAGGCACACCTGGGGCCTTGGAATATCTCAAGTTGTGCACCCCCTGGAACGGCATTCCAGCCCCGAGTCCCAGAGCAAAGCTCCAGCTTCAGAATTTTTGGTGGTCTGATTTCGCTGGGGCCTTCAGATGTTAAACTGCAATGCAAAGGAAATTCCACCAAATCCAATTTTAAATCAAATTAAAGCAAGCTTGTAATTCCAGCCAGGACTGTCTCTCTCGAAATCCTTGGGTTAGAGAACAGTACCCCAGCTCTCTAGGAGCACAAAAAGTTGTGTGTGTGTGTGTGGGGGGGGGGGGGAAATTGAGAACTTACAGATAACAGGATTTTGACAAGCATAATAGAAAGGCAGGTAGTAGGTTAATGATCTAAATGGTTCAACATTTCAAGTTAGGGAATAAATTTAGATCCCAACACCAAAATTTATGAGGTGCTGCTGAGGTTTCAGAGAGGGTTGTTATCTGGTCAGGGAAAGCCAGGCATGGGTGATTTCAAGGCATGGGCAGGCATTTCAGGCAAGTTTAGAAATCGCAGTAATTTATAGTAAAACAGAAATTAACTTTTCATGACTTTGTGATGAGATGGCTCCCAAACTTAAAATGGAATCAGGATGGGTTCATCATTTGCTCATCTCAAAATGGGAATTTAAAGCTTATCTCGGGGGGGACTGAAGACCAAATGTCAGTGAAATCACCTATTATTTAATAAATAATTGGGCACAAACCTCCCACCCCAAGCAAGACACTGTACCAGGCTGCTAGGAGGAAGACAAGTGCAATTAGAGAATAATACATTAGCATTTGGCAGCCCAAATCCTCAAGCATCCATTATTTTACCTTGATAATGTACGTGAGGCCCATTTTATTGTGATTCTGATCCTACAGAGGAAGAAACCAAAGCTTAGAGAAAAAAAGTGACGGTTCTGGTTCTCAGCCATCTTACTGGTTGAGGGATAGACCAAATCTTGTGATTTCAAATACTGTTTCATATATATATATATATATAAAATATTTATTTTTTTTAGTTGTAGTTGGACACAATACCTTAATTCCATTCACTTATTTTCATGTGGTGCTGAGGATCGAACCCAGGGCCCCTCTACCGCTGAGCCAGAATCCCAGCCCTCAAATCCTGTTTCTTTTCACTGCACTCTATTTTTCCTGCCTCAAGGAAATCTACAGTGCACAAAGTAATTATCATACGAAGTAGTGGAGTCAGTGCCCTGATATATACATATGAAATCGGTGTGTGAATGTGTAGGACTGTGTGTGTGTGCGCTTGCATGTGCTTACATGCAAGAGCATCCTTTGTGCCCTGAACAGTGATTAACACATACCGTTTCTTTCTTTTTCCTTATATTTCTTTTCATTTTTTTGAAGTGCTAAAAATTAAAGCCAGGGCCTCGGGACCTTGTGCATGAGTGCCCTGAACTACTGTCCATAGTCCCCTTTTGTTTCCTTTTTTCTTTTTGCACTAGGGATTGAACCCAGGGGTACTCTACCACTGATGTCCATTCCCAGCCCTTTTTATTTTTGGTTTTGAGACAAGGCTCCCTAACTTGCCCAGGCTGGCCTCAAACTGGAATCTGCCCTGCCTCAGCCTCCGGAGCTGTTGAAATTACAGTCACTATTCTTTCTTTCTTTCTTTTTTTGTATTTTTTTAGTTGTTGATGGACTTCAATTTCTTTACTTTTATGTGGTGCTGAGGATCGAACCCAGTGCCTCATGCATGCCAGGCGAGCACTCTACCACCGAGCCCCAGCCCCAGCCCCACTATTATTTCTTTTAACTTAGTCCTCCCACAGCTTTATAGGCAGTTTTCCAGGTGGAGGAATTAAAGCTCTGAGAGGTCAACTATTCAAGGACAATTACAACAAGGAAGTGAATCCGTTCCCAGTATGGTAGGAGGAGGAGCCTGCGAGAAAGAAAGAAATCAGAAGAGGCTCCAAAGAGGAGGTGCAGTTGAAGTTAGGCTTTGAAGAATGGCTCAAGCCTGGTTTGTCTGGTGCACATCTGTAGTAGCAGCTACTCAGGAGACTGAGGTGGGAGGATCATTTGAAACCAGAAGTCAGAGATCAGCCTGAGCAATACAGCAAGATGGATGGAGGGAAGGAAGAGAAGGAGGTAGGAGGGAAGGAGGCATCAGGGCTGGAAACCAGCAGCTTTGTGAGGAAGTCAAGTCTGTCATTCATGCAGGCTTTTCCTTGGGAACAGCTACTGGCCCTGTGCTGCAGCACCTCCTGCACAAAACCAAGTGCCACCTCGTGCCTGTGTGTCCAAGGTTGTTGGGAGCCTTCTGAGAGAACACCAGTACCAGCAGCCCTGGAGAAGCCAAAGATCAAGACCAGGACCGGAGGCAGATTGGCACTGTGAATTCTCTGACCTTGGATGTCAGACCAGCATTGCCACTATTAGCTCTAGGGCAATCTTAACAAGTCCCTGCATCTCTCCAAGTTTTTGCTTATTCTTCTGTAAAATGAGTGCCACAGTATGGGGAAGTGTCAAGGACGCACAGACAGACACATACAAAAAGAGTCAGTAGCACCGTGCCTCCAGAGGTTTGTCTTCACAACCAGAAGCAGGTTTTTGTTGTTGTTGTTGTTTTGTTTTGTTTTAATTTAACCCAGAGACTCTTTACCACTGAGCTACATCCCCAGCCTTTTTTATTTTTATTTATTTTTTTTATTTTTGAAACAGGATCTCCGGGAAATTGCTTAGGGCCTTGCTAAATTGCTGAGGTTGGTCTTGAACTTGCAATCCTCCTGCCTCAGCCTCCTGAGTCTCTAGGATTACAGATATGCATCACTACACCACTATGACTGGCAGAAGTACCATGTTTTAAAAAGGCAGATTGAAAGCCCTGAATTAGAGACCTTAAAGGGTTTTTTGTTGTTGTTGTTTTTGTTGTTTGTTTGTTTGTTTGTTTTGGTACCAGAAATTGACCCCAGGGGCACTTTTCCACTGAGCCTCATCCCCAGCCTTTTTTCTTTTTTCTTTTGAGACAGGGCCTAGCTAAATTGCTGAGATTGGCTTTGAATTGCAATCCTCCTGCCTCAGCCTCCGAAGTCACTGGGATTACAGGCAGGGACCCTCACACCAGCTCCCATAGTATTTTTTAACACAAATGATCTCTGTTTAGATAGTTTATGTATACAGACTTGCTTCAAATAAATCTGCCTATGCGCAGTGATGCCAAGACCCTTCCCAAGATAACCTTCAAATATGAGGCAATTGCAATTAGAAATCCCTGTAACAAACTGGGCATTCTAGATCAGCTTGGCAACAGAGTAGAACTTGTCTTACAAAAAGAAAAAAAAGAATCTTTATAACAAATTATATGTTTGTTTTGTTTTTGAAACAATGTAAAAATTATCTTAAAATGCATCTGGAGGAGGGGCTGGGGTGGTGGCTCAGTGGTAGAGGGCTTGTCTGGCATGTGTGAGGCACTGAGTTCGATTCTCAGCACCACGTATAAATAAATGAATAAAATAAAGGTCCATCAACAACCAAAAAAAAAAAAAAAAAAAAAAAAAGAAAGAAAGAAGAAGAAAGAAAGAAAAAAGAAAAGCATCTGGAGGAATATGAATAACAATTGTATTTTTATTTTTTATTTTTTGCAGTATAGGAATTAGAACTCAGGGCCTTACACATGCTAGGCAAGTGCTCTGCCACTGAGCTACACATCCCCATCCCAATAAGTATTTTTAACACAAAGATGCAGATGAAGGGAAAAATAGAGTTCATATGAAAATATGAATATGCAAAAATCACCATGAATACTTTATGAAAAAAATAGCAATGGAACAGGGTGTGGCGTGTGCACCTGAAGTCCCAGCTGCACCATAGGCTGAGCAGGGCGATCACTAGAGAGCCGGAGTTCCAGGCAACCTGGGCAACAGGGTGACTCTTCATCTAAAAAAAGAAATAAGAGAAAGAAAAGAAGGAAGGAGGGAAGAAAGAAAGGAAAGAAAAGAAGAAAGAAGGAAAGAGCAACCAGCCTTCTGTCCTACTAGCTATTAGACCTTAGAAGAAAAGTCCAGGGTGCCAGGTGTGGTGGCACATGACTGTAATCCCAGCTACTCAGGCGACTAAGGCAGGAAGATGATAAATTTGAAACCAACTTGAGCAACTTAGCAAGATTTTGCTTAAAAAATTTTTAAACATTCTCCCTCCCTCCCTTCCTTCTTTCCTTTTTGGTACAGGGATTAAGCCACTGAGCCACATCTCCAGCGCGCCCCTCCCCAGGCCTTTTTTTTTTTTAAGACTGGGTTTCACTAAGTTATATAGGACCTCACTAAGTTGCTGAGGTTGGCTTTGAACTTGCGATCCTTCTGCCTCAGCCTCCTGAGCCACTGGGATCACAGACATGTACCACTGAACCTGGCAAATTTACAAAAAAAAATGTTTTAAAGGGCTGGGGATGTGACTTAATGATAGAGTGCTTTGAGGCCCTGGGTTTGATCCAGCACTGCAATACTAATACCACTACTACTACTAATAATAATAATAATAGTCAGCACAGCACAACATCATCCAAAGGCATGTATCTCAATGAAACAAAACAGAGTGGCTAAAAATATACAAATGTACATCTTTAGTATATAATTAAGATTACATTTATAATTAAGTCCATTAAAAGGGGAATGGCTGAATAAATTAGAATGTATTTATAAATGGAACATTACTGTGGAACATTATTTGTCATTAGAGAGAATAAGTAGGAACTGTATGTATTGGCCTGGAAAAAAGTGTTTGCTGTGTATGATCAAGTAAAAAAAACACAAGTCACAGATGGACAGGTGTGGTGGTGCACACCTGTAATCTCAGTGGTTGAAGAGCCTAAGGCAGGAGCATCACAAGTTCAAGGCCAGCCTCAGCAATTTAGCAAGGCCCTAAGCAACTTAGCAAGACCCTGTTCAAAATAAAAAATTGTAAAAAGCGCTCCCTGGCTTTAATACCTAATACAAAAAAAAAAAAAAGTCACTGAGTGAGGTGCATAGTGTGATGTGATTTGCATAAGAGTTGCTCACTCTTTCTTTCTTTCTGGTACTGGGGATTGAACTCACGGGCATTCAACCACTGAGCCACATCCCCAACCCTATTTTGTCTTTTATTTAGAGACAGGGTCTCACTGAGTTGCTTAGCTTCTTGTCATTGCTGAGGCTGGCTTTGAACTTGAGAACCTCCTGTCTCAGCCTCCTGGGATTACCCGGTGTGCACCACTGCGCCCAACTGGGAATTGCTTTCTTTCTGTTCCTCTCTGTCTCTGTCTCTGTCTCTGTTTCTCTCTATATGTATGCGCACACTCTCTATATAGACACATACCTACATGCACACATTTCTGAAACAAATTTAAGAGTACAGACAACTCCCAACTCCCAATGGTTCAACTTAAAATTTTTTTATTTTACAAGGGTGTGAAAGTGCTATGCATTTAGTAGAAACTGTACTTTGAATTTTGGATTTGGATCTTTTCCTGAGCTAGGGATAGGCAGTACAATACTCTGTGGTGATGCTAGGCAGGAGCAGGGAGCGCACCTCCTGGGTCAGCTACATAATCATTAGGGGAAGCAGCCAATGCTCTATAGTGTACTAGTTGCTAAGCTGTAATGTTCTGTTACACTACCATCTAATATATGGACTTCATTTGATTTCACCAATTGTCTGGCATGATTGTATATATACATATGTATCTATCATCACATATATTTTTGTAAAAATATATAAAGGATATAAACACTCAAATATGTGTCTACATGTTCATACGAACCTAGGAAAAGATACAGAAGAATGTGCACACTTTTAAACTTTTTACCTTGAAGATTTTTTACAATGAGCTTTATTTCTTTTGTGATGAATTATAATATAGAAAAGGTCAA